CCACGCACGACGCGACGGACGGACGGACGAGAACGGACGGCCGGACGCCACGCACGGACGGCGGACGATCGTGCGATTCTCACAAGCTGATCTGACTATGTCAGATGAGTCTAAGATGAACGAAGAGTAGATAATAAACACATGTGTTATTAATCTACTTCTTTGTAAAAACGTATAGCTGCAAGCCTGCAAAGGAAATTTCGCGCGACCACCAATTATATGATATTCTGATTGATCCTTGATATTTGAATAGACTCTCTGATATTCATATACAACTGCTCCGTCGTGGAATTACTGGACGCAAAGCAGCTCCCACTCTTCTAGTCTCCCCCTACTCTCTCTCCCTCCCCCTCTCCTCTCCTCCGCTCTCGCCTCTCGCCTCTCCCTCTCCTCTCTCCTCTCCCTCTCTCTCGTCTCTCTCTCTCTCTCTCTCTCTCTCTCCTCTCCTCGGTCTCTCTCTCATCTCTCTCTCATCTCTCTCTCCTCTCTCTCTCGCTCTCTCTCCGTGTCTCTCTGTCTCTCTGCGTCTCTCTGTCTCCCTGTTCTCGATTCTCCTCTCTCTCTGGTCTCTCTGTCTCTCTTCTCTTTGCTCTCTCTGGTGCGTCTCGTGTCTGTCTGGCTGTTTTTGTGCTGTCCGGGTCTGGTTGGGTGTCTGTCTGTCCCCTCTCGTCCGTGGGTCTGGTCTCTCTGAGCGATGGAGGTGGGAGAGATGAGGAGAAGATCGGATGTTCTCTCTCGTTCTCTCTTGCTTTCTCTGCATCTCTCTTCTGCTCTTTCTCTCTCTCTCTTTCTCTGCCTCTCTCTCTCATCTCTCTCTGCTCTCTCTCTCTCTCTGCTGGCTCTCTCTCTCTGACTCTCTCTCTCTCTCTCTGTGTGTCTCTCTCTGTGTGTGTCTCTCTCTGCCTGATATATCGGCCGATTCTTAATAGAAATGGCACAAGCATAATTTGATTTCCCACGCATACAGATGGTTGTGACAGATACAAATGGATTGTAGAACATAAGCTATTATGTCATAAGCTTGTCAAATATTAAAGCTATTACTATTTTTAATTTCAATAGGGTATTAGGCGAAAGTGGTGAGAGAAGCTACGTTGAGAGCTCTCACTTGATGTCAACATCAGCTGAAGGTGTAGAAAGTATCGCTACAAGTAGTACAAGTGAAGCATAACCTTGTACACCAAGATTTGCAGAAAGTACTCCGACCAGGACAGGTACATTGACGGGGTCAGCCCTATAGAACGAAGGACCGATAGACCGAATATTGCAAAGGGTTAGGGTTAGGGAGTAGGCGTAGGCGCTAAAGTATCGCTACAAGTAGTACAAGTGAAGCACAATTAACCTTGTACACCAAGATTTGCAGAAAGTACTCCGACCAGGACAGGTACATTGCCACTGAATTCTTACTTTGTTACATATTGTGGCCTACTCAATTGTTTACAAACATCAATTTTCTGTTATCTAATGCACAAACAATCGTAACAATGCTTGTCTAAATATTTTCTACATGTATACGGAAAATATGAAGAGAATTACACTTTGGTTTTGTCATTTTATTTATTCAAAATTCGACCATAATTTGTTTTCTGGAAAATGCTGACAATTAATATAATATGGAAACATATATTATATAGTCTGCAGCTTTTTAGACATGCATACTCCAGAATTTGAAATAAAAAACAGTAACAATTCAGTCATCTTTTAGAATGTTTTAGTAATTTAACTTTTTTTGCAAACTAACAAAATTTTATACAGAGTTTAACATTTTAGTCTGCATTATATATTTTTTTCATTAACAGGGACAGCAAATTGATGTTCTATATTCTATATTAGAAGAATGAAAACACTCAAACTGGAAAAGCTGTTTTATATTTTTAAAACATGGCAATAGCACATTAACAAATTTGCTATTTTCTCTATCTTAATTTCTATCTCCTTCGCTGATCTTGCTAACACATGTTGCATATTTTTAGGGATACTGTTGACAGTCGCACACCGTTCCTATCACAAGCAGAAGCAGAAGTTGGCAGATGTGTAAGTACTATTCAAGTTGGTGAGGTTTAGAGGGATCAGTTTGGAGGGCCAACTACAGAGGTTAAAGTTGCTGAACCTCGCAATAAAAAGCCTATATAGACCTACTGTGAGCATACTTGCAGTATGCAAACATCACGAAAAATTAATGTTCTCATTTAGCCAGAAATGTGCTCCAACCCTTGGGATTTTCAAATCAATGTCTGACGCAGTTTCGCTGTATCTTCGGCGTATAGATACAATAACTTATGTTGAGCGAATGGGGTACGCTAGCGCAAATAGTTCCTAGAAAGAAAAAAACTATAACTGCATGTTCCTAATTAGTTGTAGTGAGTATTTACATCATAGACGAGCTCACAGAGTAGGTATACCTATGCATTTTGCTGCAATAAAATGCAGTTTTAATGTCGATAATATAATAGCTATATTTATGTTGACCTATATATATATGCTGACTACTATTTTGTGTAATATTATTACAATAAAACGCGTACCTAACGAATATAATACTGGTAAAACTGCTGCAGTGATGCACATTTTAGATTGAATGTGCCACTATGTCTCATGATTAACCCTATCTTTACAGAGAAAAGGTAATGAATCGGAGTCAGATTGAAGATGACATATTTGGTGTGAATCACCATGAGGACTCGCCTGCGAAATCTGGTAGCGAAGACGCTGACCCAGACTACTTGCCAACATCACCCCAAGTACTGTGGAGTGATGCACTGTACAAAGAAAACCTTGAAATGGTCATTGAGGAGGAAAAATGCATATGCTTTAAAGGACCAGGGTCTTTGCGCGCAAGTTGATTGTTTATAGATGGCGCAATGGTTTTCGCCCGGGCGTTTACTCGCCGTGAAACTGCTGCGGCCGAGAACTTCATTGTATATACACTAAAGATATACAATTTTTAGGCGCGTTCAATTTTTAGGCGCTAATACAAAGATGATATTCACAGTGTCAATATACAAAGATTGTCTATTCACAGTGCTTGGATATAGGTGGGATAATAGCATGTCCAATATTTAGATATATGCCGTATTGCCATGTAACCTGAATTTTACCGTATATATGCGATAATATTCCATATTATATAAAATTCCATTTCGTTTGTATTAAGTGCTGTTGTTAGCAGCTTCCACAGAATGGTACTAAAAATGTCCACATCACTTCTGGCATAGAAGGGCGAGCTGGGGGGGGGGGGGTAATTAAGTCTTCTCCTTTTAATTATTTACAATGTTTCATTAGAGACTAAACTTGCGTCCTGCGTATTGCGCGGTAATAATGCAGACACAGACATAGACATGCATAGACGTAGATGTAGACTAAAATGTACACTAAGACTTGTACAGTGGGACCAAGGTCCGTGACGTCCACGGGTTGAATTCTTGAGACAATCGCACGTGCGTGGCGCACACAATCACACTTCCGGTCCTCGCCATGTTTGTTAAATTTTTAAGAAATGTCGAGGTTTAGGTGCCGTGCGTTATAACGTGTTACTGTGAGATAACATATATAGAATTTCATCTTTGTATTGTGCGTGGATTCAATCAAGAGATAGCGAGGACTACGCAGACATAGCGTGCAGTGTTCGTGCAAGATCACAGACGAAATAAATGGATAGGCCCTACATGCGTTGAAGGACATACGTTATCAGAACACAGCGAGATCTAGAGTGCGGTAGGCCTACGTACATGTTACTATAAATGTTAAAATATAAATATGGCATTAATTGTACCAGTCACATTTATTGTGGTGCTCTAGTATACTTGTAGGCCTACATACAGCATTACAACAATATTTCGTACGGTTTATCGCACAGGCACACGAAATGTTTTTACTATACCAAAGTCTTAATGTTTCTTAGCTCCAAGAAACGGTATTGCTAAGGTTAGAATACCTAGACAATCCGTCTAGGTAGGTTGGATTGTTTAGGTACAATTGGTAAGGTTAGAATACCTATAGACAATCCGTCGCACAGCCTGGTCGGGCTATAAATGTTTCTCTACTCTATTTCACCTATAATCACCTGTAAATGCCAGTCAAACGCTCATCCGCAGCACGCAAGTACACCGCACGCCCGCGCTGTGCACAAACAACATGAATAAGAGAGTTATTCATGTTATTTCTCATTCATGTTATTATTCATTCATTCATTATTATTCATTATTC